TTATTATTATTATTATTATTAGAAAATACCCATAAGTCCTAACATTTTAGGATTCTCAGGTTGTTCGTTCGGTACGACGTAAATCCTCACGTTTTCTTAGACTTTTGCATGATTGTATGACATGCAATATAAGTCATACTTTTATGATTCTAAGGTTGTTCGTCTGGTACAACGTAAATCCTCATACTCTCTTAGGTTTTTGCATGATTGTATGTTGTGCAATATAATTCTTAAATTTCTAAATAAATTGTAGATTGAAACATTAACTAACTTCTCTTCCAAAAATGTAAAGTCAAACAATATTTAGTTTAAGATGTCAGTGAGACTTCATCGATATCGAAAGTTTCATCGGTATCTTCGATATATCTTACTTTTAATTTCTTTGTGTTCCAGAAATAACTGTTCCACATTAAACTTTTCCATTTAATTTTCTATTTATTAATCGTGGAAAGTAAAAATTGAATTCTTAAAGACCCAATCTTAATTGAGAGTTTTTTTAAATAATTTTGGTCGCTTAAAATGTAATTAACTATAGGAGCTTGCGCCTATAGAATATTTTTAACCCATATAATCAAAACCCTATCTAATCGTTGTATTAGATAGAGAAAAGATGTGTTGGTATTTTCGCAGACCAAACAAATATCTTAAATTTTTTAGTTTGAATAGTTCAACTCATTATTAAGTAATATTCCCATCTTTCGAGATAACATATTACATGTAAAATTGTGTTCGATCATTTCAATAAATTAATATTTGAATTCTGTTGGGTTTTATTTTCAAAATCAAACAATTTTTCAAAATCAATATCATTTTCAAGACCACAAAAAAAAAGTCCAACAAAAGTACTTTGGAAGAACCAATCAGAACTCGAAGCAAATTGGGAGATTCAAGAAGAGATGATTTGAAATGTCCATACTATTCTAGAACTAATGTACGAATTTGGGAACCAAATTATTTTATGGAGGGTTGCATTTAAGAACCGAATATTTTTATTACCTTTTTATTCTTCTACGCGACTCTTTTTCTCTCTTACCTTTTCTACCGCTCGTGATCTTTCCTCTCATTGAGCCTTTTTTATTTTGATTCAACTGGCTTTTATTTTCAGTCTAGTCGTATCTTTGAACGTTTCAGTATTAAGTAAAAGTTACTTTTCCTTCTTATTTGCAATAAAAGCCTTTCTTTGAAAACACAAAATAAGTTCAAATCTTTTCCTCATATTGTGCGTCGTCAGAGTGTACCGGCTTCCGGACTCGGGGGTGTGACACTATGCGGCAGTCTTCGACAATGGCTAGATGAACTCTTTGAAGTTCTGCATGGTAGACCAGTTCTCGTGGCTCGTAGCAACTAGCCCTCGAGCTCATAGCATTTGGCCTTCAATCCAGAACACTCCCCCAAAAAAGTTAGCTAGCTACCGATGCGCATCAGCCAAGTTGGTGACTATTGTAATGGTCGAGTTCTGTCTTCTTATACATTTGTAGCATTTAAACAAAGCTTCACATTGCTCTTTGATGAGGGCCTTATCATCCTCAAATTTCTTCTTCGCTTCGTAGAACTCCTTCTCCAAGCCACATATTTTAACTTTTTTACTAGCAAGATCCTTACCGCCCTCCTTTAAAACCTCATCAAATAATCTGAAGTTTCACGCTAGTGTTTGTTTCTGCGTGGCAGCAAACAATCGAGTTTCACGATCCATCTCTTGGATCATCTTCTGCAGGAAAGATAAACTGACGACTGGTCCTAGGTGGCATGCTAGAGGAAGCCCCTCATCCATTCTCAAATATCAATCCATCAAGTGATCTTTTTGAGGAGACAAATTATCCTTGTCCAAAACAAAGATCTCAACATTTTTCATCTTCTGGACCGGATTCTCAACGACCTAAACTTTCTTTCCCCGCTTAAGGGCAAGCTCATCATTAACAGAAACTATAATGACTTCCTTGCCCTTCTGCTTATGGACAAGCTTCTGCTTTCTCAGTTAGATGGCTTGTTTGACCTTCTTGTCTCTCAGGTTGGTGACCTCCTTAGTTGCTGACGACACCAATTGAGTGAACTTCTAGACTACCAATAATCATGTTGCCTCTTTATTTGATTCCTTGGCGGCCTCCTAAGCCTCCAATAAGCTTTCTCACTCAACGATGTACAATCATTGAAAACCTAACCTCCCTGACAATCCCTATGACTGACCCATGTTCATTCTAACAATGACCTCAAAAGCAACGTGATCTCGAAATTATTATAAGTTTGTTAGTTCCCTCCTTTTGAAGAATTACTTCAGAAGGCGATGTAGATATCAAATATTTGGGCATACTTGAGAGATTGAACTTTCCACATCTCACTCCAGTCTTCATCTACCAAAATTTCCAAACAAACAAAAGATTTATGGAGAAATTGTTTAAAACTGAAGTTAAACAAAATAGACCATGGCTAACCCCAGCACTTATAACAACTTGCTCATCCTTTTTGACGAGCAGCAATGATCCTCAGATTCGCCATATAGGTGAGCTATCAAGAAAAGTTTCAGTAAAAATGTACATGTGTATGCAACTTGCCCATTATAACAAAATGAATTTTCAAACTTAAAAACAAATAAGTGACTTATGAGCTAAGCTTTTGCCCACGAAGTGATAATCAGGAAGCTCTTCATGTGAAGGACAACATCCTTCAAAGCCTGTACCACACTCTTCCTCTTA